AAGTCATGATTTGAAACTATATTTGGAAACACAATAGTTAAACTCTTTTCATTGTTATATAAATTTTCTTAAAAAGAAAAGACATACTAGGTGGTTTACACGTTCTGGGCAGTTGCGAGGAAAAGTTCAGATCAATTCGAGACATGTGGAAATAATTTATCAGGATGTCGATGTTACAATCGGCGCTTTGTATCGCGAATACCTATGTCGCTGGAACAATGCAAAACGAATGAATGAACGATTTCTGACAGCAAATGCAGAATGGTTGGATCAATTCATAGACGAGCTTGTAGTTCGAGTAAGTAATTACTTTAATTGGTTATAATTTTGTTTTTTAAAACTAGTATTTTCTTGAATTTAAGGTGAGCTATATTTTGCAACGGAAATGACAATGCGGGCTGAAGGTAATAAAGAATTGGCGAACGTTTTGAAATCTGGTACAATTTCAAAAATATCAAATGAACAGGCATTGGCAATTTTTACTAATGCTATGTTTTCAAAACGAAAATATAACATCATCCGTGAAACAGCAAAGATCGTGTACCCATCGTACAAATCAATATCAGCAGCTAAAAAACTGTGCTACCCTCCTGAAACTTATTTTGATACATCAAAAGTTCACTGTACAGTTGATTTGCAGGAAGTCCTTAATCGCACTGCTTCTAGATTGTCCATACTTTTCGAAACAGAAATCATTTCTTCGCCTCAAAAGGGTTGCACGCGTTTTCACCTCTATGTGAAATGGGATCTTGACGAACATGCCTGAGTACAATCAGAAATTCTCATGTAACACTACATGAGAATTTCTGATTGTACTCAGGCATGTTCGTCAATTTTTTGTCATTAATTGTTCCACTGAGAATATTCGGAGAGGAATGTTTGATTTGGGACAACAATTTTCCTCCACTCGGTATTGCCGTCCAATCGCGATATATTTGGCCAAGGAAACTCCAGAGCAAACAACGGAAGAGTATGAGCGCATGATTGGCGCAATTAAACAGCTCAAATTAAAAGTGGGAGAATACGTGATTAGTATCGAATATAAACTCTCAATGACTATGATTGACACTAAAACCATTAATGCCATTACGCTGACTTCATCTTTACATCGATGTTACCTGTGAAAAGCCAAATTTCAATGATATTGAAAACATTGTGAAAAAACCTATTGAAACTGCCTACTTAAAATTTGGAATCATTAGTCTACACTGCAGGATTCGTTGCTTTGAATGTTTATTGCATATCGCCTACAGGCTCAGCTTTTGCAAGTGGGTAAAATCAGGTCATATGTATGAATATAATCGCAACAAGAATCGCATTCAGACAGAGTTCTTCAGTAAACTTGGCCTGCACGATGATATACCTCGTCCTGGTTTTGGCACAAGCAACACTGGCAACACCGCCAGGCGTTTTTTTTTTTAAATGCGGAAATATCTTCGGCAATCACCCATAGCGACTTGAATTTGATAATAAGATTTCGGACCCTGTCAAAAGCTTTTTCAACATTGAGAATCCATTGATTCTGAAAAGTTTACGAAATATGCCACAAACACACAAACATGAGCCGTCTGTACGTCCAATTCTATGACTGGAACCACATGCCCACATCGGTCCATAAGTAGTTGATTCACGGACATTAGATAATTCACGAAGCATCAGTACCGATTGGTTAGCTTTCAGAGGAAGCTCAAGAAATTATGAATAAGGAGCTTCGTTATAAATTTTTGATGAGAAAAATTATAGTAAGCCTGAATTCGAGGCCAGCTATGAGAGCGATGACAGTTGAATGACGATGAATGAAGCAAATTAATTTGGTTTGAGAGTAAATATACGTATTTGAGGATAATAACTTTATCTTTTTATCTAAGATATATCTGATTTATCTTGAGGTAATACACAATTTTCATCGTCAAACATCATCTCTATGAAAAGTGGACTAACAAAAATCAAAGCATCGCACGATGCATCGCAAAATCCTTTTGTGTTACGAACTACCATGCGTCTCCAATGTTTTTTTTTTTGAAAAATTATACCTTGGGCAAAAAGGGGCAAAACAACATGTACATTTCCAAAAAGTTCAATAATTTTCCATCATTGTGAGCTACAAGCGATCTTTTCGAACTGTTTCAAAACATTTACAAGCTCCTTAAACATTAAGATTTGCAATTTTCTGCATGCCTTATCATTTATTATCGAATGTAGGAAAGAGAAGGAATACTTGTATGGGATAAATCGAATGGCAAACATAAGCTGTATGAAAACCCTTCAAATTAAAACCATTTTGACCCAGATCGGAAATATAGTTGAAAAGATATATTCATATCAATGACAGAGGTTTGCTCTTGTTTTTTTATGCAAATTATCACAGAATTTCCCGACCTCCTCACCTTAGAATAGCTGCTAAAAAAATTATTTTCTTTATAATGTTGTGATATTGTGGGAAAACATTATTCAATATGTATATAAAATAAAAAAAAATCAAGCCATTGAAAACCAATAAACAATTTTTTTGATTAAAGTCCAGCTTGGCGCCATTGTGCAGCCCCAGGCTGAAAGCCTCCCTAATAAAGATAAATTAATTAATTAATTCTATTGCGCTCATCTTTTGGCACCACCCAGGGGAGACTTGTTCCTATACCCAATGCTTAACTTATCTCCATTCCACTCAGCTACTCGCAATTTCTTGTGATATAGTGGGCGGAATATTATTATATGAGACAATTCAATGCAGACGTCTTTCCAAATTTGGCAGATCGACAGGTAATCGGTGAGTTACCACGATAGTTGCTATTCAACAACTCGTCAACGTCCCATCGTCAATGCCTGCTATGAGAATTTCCCATTGCAGACGCCAACGAAATGACGTCATCGAGCTATCGATCAACTACCCTGGTTATCGCCTGGTACCTTATAGCACGATGCTAGGAGGCGAACCGGAAGAATCGATGAGCTACCTCTCCCCCAGAAAGATCTAAATTTTCTGTATTGTACGAAAAGTCGGTAATTATAATTACTGTACACGCTAAGATCAGATAACCCAAATGTAGGTTTACTTTACCCAAATCAGGCGTAAACTGCACAAACTCAGATATGGGTAAATTTTTTAACCCAAATATGGATAAAAATAAATCATTTATGGATCATAAGAACCCATATTTGGGTTAAAAAATTTACCCATATGTGAGTTTGTGCAATTTACGGCCAATCTCGGTAATCTCTTTGTACCGTCTGGGTAAACTGATCTTAGCGTGTACACAAAGTAATCATAGATTTTTTTCTGGACATCCGTCAAAATACTCAACATATTTTACTGACCATGAATTGTAAAATTCTAAGCTGTCACTACGTGCGTGGGAAATTATGCGAAGACAACACAGATGGTGTTTATTTGCGGGAGAATATCATTATCCATCAGTGCAAATCCTTAACTGCTGACAAATATAATTCAACAAACGTGTTTTCTTCTGTTATTGAATTGAAATTATTATTTCTCTCCCAACACTAATAAAAACTTTTTTAACTGGCTTACACGGTATTTACTAAGAAAAAATAACTGCCTTGTCAGTTAAATGCAAAGCAAATAACGTTCGAATTTACTGGGCTTACCAGTTAATATAGCCGAATGCAAATCGAATGGATTACCAAACGTTCAGTAGTGTTTGACAGTTTGACTTAACTGATAGTTCGGTAACGAAAATTAATGCTGTGGTGATTACTGGGTGATCCGCAATTCAAAAACCCAGTAAAATGTTACTGACTTCGGTAATCTAGACTAAGTGTGTATCTATAGTTTACACTAAAGATACTATAGATTCCATGTGTTGCGATTTTGAGGACCGTACCAGTACATGCGTGTACCGGTTGGTTTTCTTGTCCACCACATTAGATGAAAATATTTTCAGTGCGGGGCCTCCCAAAAGTTTTCATATAAAGTAAAACGTATTGTCTATGTCTATGACTATGTCGAAGAAACCTATGTTTCCGGAATGGCCAAACCAGTGGGTACCGACGGCAAAGTAGTTCAATGCAAACCGCGATATCAGCCAGCATTCTGGGCGATATACAAGAACACCCTGAACGGTGGTCCACGTGGAAGGTTGGCACAACAAGGTTTGCTAGTTAATCAAAGGTAGAAATGATTACAATTGACCTCTTTGTCAAGCAGTTTTGGCGTGACTTTCTACCAGCGATTTCACAAAACTGGACCAAATAATTTATATTTTTTTATGAAACGCACAAATGTTGGCTACTTTTCTCGAGGTCCTAGAAGAAAAAATCTCAAAATAATCACCCCTATTCTGTATTTCGTTTCGAACGAAATTCTCATACAAAAAAATATTTTTTTGTATGAGAATTTCGTTCGAAACGAAATACAGAATAGGGGTGAATGTTTTATTTCAAAGTTTGAGTGGTAGTAAACGTCATTTTAACTGCTCGAATAAAGTGGTTAATTTATTTGCTGTTTTGCAAGCCTTCCAGCAAGAAGAACAGCCCACATCGGCGGAATATTTTCAATTTTTCTAGATGGAAGAAAGTCCGAGAAAATTTTAAGATAAACGAACGCCTGAAAGGAGCAACCCGTAACAGAATGGGGGTTTCATTGTTGGATCACATCCAAGGAATCGCATTGATATTGCAGGATAAATGATCAACTATCTTCATTTTCGCCACTTTTTCTTATTTCTGTTGATATAATTGCTACGGTAAATGATTATAAAGCGCATAGATTAGAGATGTATGTTTTTAACAGCTATTCTTGTTGCAATGCTCATCAAAATACCAATGAATTAACTTTTTGTATCAAACAGAAAAAAATCCGGAAAATTGTACATTCTGGTTAATGGAAATGAATGCGATGCTGACGAAGATTTTTTTTAAGAATCAATTCTTCCAGTGACGATGTCAAAAATAATTTATTCAATACCGCGTGAAGTATTTCAATGAAATGACTAATGTAAGCATTACTTCCAACTAAAAAGTCGCTCGGCGAGAAAACCCCCAAAGAACGATCACTGTAATCAATTGCAACATGGTTTTCTTCTGATCCATTGATCTACGAATGAACAATCTTTCATTGAAGGCAAAATTTATTTCGAATATTAAGCCATTAAAAAAAAGTTCTATATCGCCTTCTATATTTATTCAAACTAGTCTGGCTGCTGAATGATCTATATCACGCTATCAGAGGTAACCGTAGTGTTTCAGCATTCATACAAATCGGTATTTGTTTAATGCCCATGCAGTTCTTCAATTGCCTTCCTGTGGCGTTCGATAGCTTCCTCGTGTTGTTTGATCGACTCTTGGTGGAAATCTTCTTGTTTGATCAGCTTTTCCTTCAGTTTATTCAACTGTTCCTTACGCTACAAGAAATATTTGTAATGAATATGACAGATAATGTGCATGTGGGATAAAGAAGCACGCTCACCTTGTGGTAGAAGTACTCTTCCTCGTGGGCAACCTCCATCTTACCGAAGGCGCCTCCTGCTTCGCGAATAGAACCTCCACCACCGCCACCCTTTCCGGCACCGCAACCCGGCTCACCAAGTTGAGTGCCAATGCGGGCAAATCTGCAAAGAAATATACGAGAAAATGTCATTATTCGAGAAAATGTCAAGAAATATACGAGAAAATGTCAACTGTAATTTTTCGTTTTTAGCCTTTTCTAATTTTGGAATGTTCTGTATTTGATGCGTCCCGATTTTGGCAACATATAAATGGACCTAACAAATTTGAAAGATAATGCATTATCCTTTGAAGGCAGACCCATGTCTACCATTTCCATAACGTAAAATTATTGATTTAAATTATTTAGATCTATTTCAAGTTCACAGTCTTAAAAGCATTTCGAAGATCGGCATTACGAATATTTATGTGAGTTTCAAATTTTGAAAACTTCTTATGTTCCAGAATAAAAATAAAACTCCCCGAATCTTGAAGATTTGCCTGAATCCAGGATCATACAATTTTCTAATTAGGTATAAAATCTAAAAAAAATCAAAGCCTCAAATTTGTTTTTTGCAATTTTTGTTTTTTTTTTTCTATGTCGAGGATCTTGATAAGATTTCTATACTTCAATTTTCTTGATCCCATTGGAACTCTTTAAAGAATTTCTTAAGTATTTTCTCAGAATTTCCTTAGAGTTCATCTTAGACATCTCTATGGTATCGCTCTATAATTTGCTCCCTATTACTCTTGACAATCTGAATTCCACTCTGCACTGCTCTTCAAATTAGTAATAATTCTTGCAGTATTACCTAGGAATTTTTCTAAAAAATCACTTGTAGTTCTCCTGGGCATACACGTAGTGTTCTCCCGAAATTCACATGGAATTATCCCAGAAATTCAATCTTAATTCTGCTCGGAATTCTCGTGAAGTGGTCCCATCAATTCTTTGAAATGCTCCTCAGAATTCTTATTTAGCTCTAATTCGAATTCTTTTAAAAAAATAGCAGCCATCAGAATAATCTTGGAACTGTCCTCGGAGCAGTGCTGAGCAGGACTCTACATTTTCGAAGCTCTAAAATGAACTCGTGTTTTGTTTCTCTAATACATACGTGTTCGACGCTTCATTTCTATAACGCCTAGCTAGACTATCAGCAAGAAACAAAAATAAAAACCCGAATTTATCCACCTATGGTGTGATCAGACCCTTCTTACTTATTCAAGTTTATTTTATTGTCATTATCAGTGACCAAGCCCCCACCCCCGTGTCATCCAGTGACGCTACGCCACTGCCTGGGGGTACCCGGAATATATTCAGGTGTAGTCTATTTGGTGAGGCTACCAATCACCTTATCATCGTATTTTAATGTGATTTAATGGGTTTTAATTCAATTCATATTCAAGCAACTTCCCCGGGGAATTGAATTGAATTCTGTAGTAATTTGATGTGTCGCATGATGGTTTTGATACGTTTTCCGTTAAATCCAGCGTGAAGGCCCATATTCACCGGATCTTATTCCGGCCATATCTCCGGAACCGGTTCACCGATTCCAAAACCGTTCAATGGGACCCCAAGACCTATCATTTGGCGCCGAGTTTGTCCAAATCGGTTGAGCGGTTGCTGAGAAACGTGAGCGCATTCATTTCGTTACATACACACACACACAGACACAGACATGTTCCGATCTCGTCGAGCTGAGTCGAATGGTATATGACACTCGGCCCTCCGGGCCTCGGATTGATAGTCGGTTTTTCAAGTGATATCTATACCCTTCTTTGTAAGAAGGGTAAAAAGCAGGACGCTTAGAAGGAAAGGCTGGCTGTGGAACTTCTCGTCGTTGCTTTGCTCATCGCTTTCAACGTATAACTAACGTCGATTTTCTATGATTTTCTAGATTTTCTTGATTTTCGATTTTCTAGTTAAACGAAACCTCATTATGGCTTTCAATCCCCTTTCACGAACACTCTATCACCGCTCTTTCAATTTGTTTAAAATGCGTTATGTCCCGTTTTCGTTAATTTTTTTAGATAAATATGTGGATGGAAGATAAATTAAACATATTACGTGTAATCTTCAAGTGTTTTCACGTAAGAAATGCTTTAAATATGTAATTTCATTTTCCGTCATATACGTCATGAAACCGTTGATGTGTTTCATGAAAGAGAAAACTATCAAAGTCGAGCGCTCTTTCGCTCATCCGTTTCACCGAAGCTTGAAAGGAAGACCAATGGAGCGACGGGAGAAAGAGAGACAAGCGATTGAACATTTGTTTGTGCACGCCGACTGAGGTTCTAGAATGCTGCGAAGCTGTTCGACTTTAACAGAAAAAGAAAGCCAGCAGTCTCTTCGTCGCATCGATTTGGTCGATTGAAGCTGATATTGTGACGCCCTGGTGCTGAGATTTATCATTGTCATAGACAGACTTTCGCGCGATATTGACAAAATTGTTTTTCACATAGTCACTGATAGGCTTGATCCACAAAAAAACCTTCGTCAAAATCACATTATTCACATTTCTTCAATGACAAAGATTTACCTAGTAACAAAAAGTGTAATTTCGTGCAATCTGTGACACATTATTGTTATCCAAGCAATTCATGACGAAGATGCTTTTTCACTTTAACGGCTCCATGAAATTGATTTCCTTAAGGGGGGAAGGAAATACAAATAAATTTTTTTTTATCGATTTTTTATATTTTACTTTAAGATTTTTAAAAAAATTCTACGAGCACGAGGAAGGAGTGATCTATAGCCCCGGTATCGCCGATTAACCGTAAGTTCCAGAAATCATGTTTTTACACAACCCAAAAATTTAAACGCGTTTTTCTCGAAACGGTGTTTTCCAAATTGGCGGGAAAGATGACTCAAAAAGTTCTCCTCCAAATGACTTGAAACCTTAAAGGAAATAGATTATATTCTATGTGAACCCCTGATATCATAAAAAATATTAATAGTTTTCAGGTCTGCCTAAAGTGGAAAAAAAACAGTGAAAAATCAACTTTTTTTTTCAGATATTTTTTTCTAAATTTTTAAATCGTTTTTTTTTTTTTGGTTTTAGAGGTTCACATAAAACAAAAATCTTTTCTGAATAAGGTCCAATTGATAAAAGTAAGTTTTATCTATTTTTCAAGTCTCTAGAACGCCCGCCAATTACCAATCCCCACCGGAGGCGACCTCCTTCCGATGTGACCCCAAGGAGCCACAGTGGTCCACACCAATGAAAAAAATCTCAAATGTAGAGCAAGATTTAAGTAATTTAATGCAAAAAACCCCAAACGTTTGCTGACAAAAAAATTCCGAAAATCGTCGAGTTTTTGACGTGTTACTTGTACTTCCCCCTTAAACCAAGTTCTTGTCTATTATTTACACCTCATAAATTTCTGAAAAATAAATGCCATCAGAAAATTTTATTTGTTTGCTTAAGGTACGTTTAGACTATCTGATTTGTTGGTCTGATTCGAGCGAACTGCTCGATAATTTTGTCGGATGCAATGTTTGGATGCGTTAGCACTTTTTCGACAGGATGATTAGACTTGACGTTTGATTTGTCGAACGAAATAGGTTTGCGTTTAATTTTCATTCGACTCATCCAGCAATAGCCGCAAGTTAGGTGAAAATATTGATTTTCTTCTAACATTTCCGGATTTGAACCGCTATAGAACGCTTGATTTGTGTTTTGATGGCATCCAGGAGCAACCCTAATAATACGTGTATGGTTATTTTGCTTAACGACGTGATCAGGGTATCATCTAAACCACTTGTGGAATAGTTCAATCATTTGGGTTATCGTTCGGGTATGGTATTTTTATTCGGGAAGGTAAACCGATTTCACTATTCAATAATGTCCTGTGTATGGTTTGACTGATTTTTATTTCCAGTGTGATTGGCCGAAAGATGCCGTAATGGCTTTGATCATGGCATGGTAAAAAAAAACAGTGTTTATATAATACGAAGCATGTATTGTATAACAATAAGCATGCCAGACAGCAGGTCTGAGCGCCTACTAAGATTTTTTTAGAGCTTCAGAGAACTTCGGAGCTCTACTGAGAAATTTGTTGAGGTTCAGGGTAGTTCGTAGATCTTCGAAAATCACAAGATCATCAGATAAATGTTCAAAGAAATTATCAAAACTTCAAGCAAGATAAAAAAAAATTCAGATCAATTTGTAAAACTATAAGCGAAATTTTGCAAATCTTCAGGGAAATCCGCATAACTTCAGACAAGTCCAAGAATCTACAGTGAAATATAAAGTATTCCACAGAAGTTCGGAGATCTACTGAAAAATTATTCGACATCAGAAAAGTTCGTAGATCTTCAGAACATAGCTACAGAACTTTGGAAAAAAATTACAGAACTTCTGATGAAATCACAACAATGGCGAGGGGGCGACTCTATCTAAGATGCTGGACAAAATTTGTTTGATGGAATCGATGGAATTTACAAACTTCAGAGAAGTTTGCAGATCTACTGAGAAATTTATTGAGCCTCAAGGTTTTTTTTTCGTAGATCTTGAAAATAGAACTACGGAGCTTCAGACAACTTTACAGATATTGGCATGAATTTTTCAAATGTGAGTTCTTTTTTTAAGTCAGAAAAATGTCATGCGAAATTCGTTAAATGTCATAAAAAGTACCTCAATTTCAAAAACAAATCGCAGCGAAGTACAAAAGTCCAAGATTTTGCAGACCTCCATGGACGTTGGAAATAGATAGATCTGAAGAACTTCAGAGAAGTCTGTAGAACGTCAGAAAGTTTGTACGTTTTTAGAAAAAATTGCAAAACCTTAGGCAAACTTACAGAACTTCGGGAAAATTCGCCGATCTTTAGAAGTAATTACACAACTTCAGAGAAATTCGTAATCCTTCAGATAAATGTTTAAACTTCAGCGAGTTCAAATATTTTCAGATAATTTGTAGAGTTTTGGGGAATTTCATAGAATTTCTGATAGATGTGTAGAACTTTATGGAAATTCAAGAATCCATGAATAAATTTATAGAACTTTAGAAAAGTTCGGAGATCTACTGAGAAATTTATTGAACTTCAGGGCAGTTCGTAGATCTTTAGAGCAGAAAAACAGTACTTCAGAAAACTTTACAGAGTTTGAATGAAATTTTAGAAACTTCAGAAAAGTTCAGATGGTAGATCGTAAATCTACTGAAAAATCTGCAGATGTTTAAATATATTTTAAAAGATTTTTATTGCGGTGCATTTAGTAGAACACTAAGTTAAGAGCACGCAATAAGCTAATATGCGATAAAAAATAAACTTAAAATGCGAAAAAGAAGAAAAGCAAATTCTGAGTAGGTAACGCGCAACAACTGATATGTTCTTCAATGTTTACAATACCTACATATATATCAAATGACTGGCTCTTATCGATTTAAACTGTAGCAACAATCCCGATTTGCAACGACGAAGTTATTTGTATCGAAACATGTTATCGTAATGAATCAGTTGCACCTCACACATTTTCTAATCACCCATGCCGACTCCATTGCATTTTTTGGTTGATTGCATAAGAAGCAACATGGTAGTATGCAGACCGCACTGTCATTTGTAGCTGCAAAGCACGATAAGGCTGATGCATTTCTTTTTTTTAACGGTGAAGGTTCAAATGAAGAAGTAATTTTTCAACATGAGTTTTACCAATGAATTTGCAGACATCTTGAAATAGAAAAAAAAAACATCTCAAGCGTAGAAGGTCGTTTTCCATTGATGTGAGCTGGGAATTGTAAACATACAATGTCCCAATCTGTATGCTCGATTACTAGTTATATAACATGCAGCCTGCAACGGTTAAAATTTCACTCAGTTAATATTTCAGCATTTTCATTCACATCTACTATAGCTATATGGTGGAATTGAACCAAACAAAAGATAATATAAATAAGATAGAAATCGAATAAAAGGAAACTCACAAAAAAACGCATACACAACGGCTAATCAGATAATGTTTAAATACCGAGTATCTCTATACGTGTGTAGCAATATTATTGCAAGTTATCGGTAAACATTTAAAACCGAACGAAAACATCTAATAATATCTCTCAGCCAGTAGAAAATAGGCTTTAACAAACAAAACCAGTTTCATCCGAAATAGCGCACTTAGATTTTCATCGTTTATACGCATTTTCTCATCTACCTGACAATCCATGGACCATCCCACGATATCAACACGATAATCAGTACAGTTCCAGAACTGCTATCGAAATTTTTACTTACCTCATGGCGGACGGTGCAATCCAGGTGGTCGTCTTTCTGAGAGACTGCATTTTTCTAAACTCTTTCCAACAAAATATAAATAATTTTCACTGTTTACAACAAAATGCGCACCAGTTCAGTTCAAGGGCCTACGATGTAATGAAGATGATAAAAATTTCGGCTACGTGCTGCCTGTTTGGGCGGAATACGCATTTACACTCAATTCAATTTTCACGCGATTTTTTTTGTTTTCGTCTGTATTTTTGATCGTGTGATCTCAAATTGCAACCAAATGTAGTAACACTTGTTTCTAAAAATCAAAGGAAAATATGGTGACATTTGAATGTTTATACTGATCCTAAATGAGAACAAAATCGTGAAAAATAAAATCGCGTTAAAACAGAATTGAGTGTACCTACTTTAACGAGCAACGAGCGCACGCATACGGACGGAGGAGAAAACAGCCCTTCGCACCCTTGGGAACTCCTGGCTATGTGGTCGTAGTTAATACGATGTTTTCTTCACGCACCTACCGGCAAGTTCGTAGTAGTTGTTGTGATGTTATTCACCTAGAACCACTGTGGAACGTGTGGAACGAAAATCACCGGTGCACACTGGATTTACCGATTTATCAAAAGCTTCAAATTTAGGATTTATCAGTTTAAAAGATTTGCTATCTATTGTTGAGGCACCGCTTGCTACGCTTTACAAAGACAGAGAGGTACCGTTATTTGCGGATTGAGTTTTAAGCCGGTATTCCTTTTTTTCCGATTCCTAGCTGCCTGATCTTTGGTAGTAAGAATATTGACCTCAAATGGTATCTTTATTAATGTAAAACTCCATCCACAATCAACGATACCATGCAAGCATCATATTCTGAATGGTTAAGAAAATTGCAATAGCGCACATTGGGGAATCTCCATACATGAAGGTGGCCAAAAATATGCTCGAGCATTTTATGCATTTTTGTCTTGATTTATGATAGTATGGGTATGAATTGTCAGCTTCAAGATGTTTTTGAAGCCATGTAATATCTTAAGGTCTACAAAATGTCCTCAAGTTGAGATCTAGATGTCCTCTTGAATCAACGTGGTTAGACTCGTAAATTTTCGACATATTTGACATGCCATCAGGTCCCTACTGATGATGTTAAACGCAATATGCGTTTTAGGGGCCATGCAGAAACCACGTAGTTAATTTAGGGGGGGGGGGACGAAAGACCAAGACCCATACAAATTTTCAGAAAATTGTATGGACGTTTGACCACTTGTGGGGAGAGGTTCAAAATCATAAAAAATGGACCACGTGATTTCTGGACAGCCCCCTAGAGTATCAGTGATCAAATATTAATTGCTTCCAAACTATTCTGGAGTTATGGCCATTGAGTAAGGTTAACTTATGTCGTAAACAATGTCCCGAAAATCTTTATAAGTTCAAGAAGTTCTGGTTATATGTAAATCACAGAATGGTATTCGGTGCCCTCCTCACTATTCTGGAGCAAAAAGATAGTGGAACTTTACAAGTCAAGATCAAGGCCTTTAGCAATCACCTCTAGTCTGTACATCGGGTTGACCTTCTGTCATTTGCGAGGGAATGAAAGTCACGCCTTGTGAGATGACTCTATTTGATTTGCATGGAGAGTCACCTCACAAAGTGACTTTTATTGTCTCGTAAGCGAAAGAGAGACTATGTGATACGTTGAATTGGGGTAAATATCTTAACTTTTTTTGAAAAAGATCCCCAATATTTTTTAATTGATTAAAGTCATCGTTTTAATGTTAATCAATCACAATCGAATCTTTGATGGTGTTCTGAAATTTTACGGAAGCATTCATCTCTTTTGCCAATCTTTTTTCTTTTCTTAGTAAAGTGTTTGGGTAACTGTGCAACAACGTCATCAATAATTCTATCATTTTGGCAGCATTGTCACTGTTCTTCAAAATGTGACCAATCACTTTAATCAATATCGAATCCACTTTTGAATCGATCAATTCGTCGTTTATTTTCCGCCGTTCACTACGCTCGCTTGATACATCGAATTGTTTTGATGGCCGTCCATGAAGATGAAGGTTCTGGTTCGATTTCCAGCATAATATAGATTCAAAATGAAGTATTACAAAAATTGCAAAAAATCATGTCTCATGCTGATGTGTCGAAAATCGAAGTTATTTATAATAATTAGACATGATAAAAGGGTTTTCGAATTTACAAATATGTTTTTCAACATCACCTGCATTGAGGCATCACTATTAACGATTAATTGAAACAATAACAAATACAAATACTCAATCCAAGGAATCAAATTCCCTGAGTTTTCCAGGTTTTTCAAAATCGGATGAAAAAAATTCCAGGTGCATACAAATTATACACATTTTTTTTTTTCTATTTATACATCTGGAATCCCTTTTATGTACTCATTGATTTATGTTATTTTCGATTGCCATCTCTGTGGAAAATGGTCGAACAAAATGATTAATTGAAACAGTCCTTATAAAATACAACAGCATTGCGAACGGCCTTAGGGAGACTCTTTAAGACACCATAGGAACCCATTGCACTAAAGTACCTCCACTATTGGTGCATTTATCCTACATATAATTTGCGAAAAGAAATTATATCCATGGGTGTAATATTGTATTTTTTCTAACTCTTTATTTGTTTCAAATTCAAAATAAATTACATTTCATTTTAACCTAGGTGCTCCAGTTACTACAGTAACTTACCAGCCTTAATTGTTATGATATATATCTAAGTATTTTTACATTGTTCCTGTCTTGGCAATTCAGTATTTTAAACAGGTTTTTTAAACCTGCATGTCAGTATAACAATTGATATCTTAAAACTAAAAACTAAAACTAAATCTTATCTAAGTATAAAGAGAATTAATCGTTGCAATTGAGGATTACAACGAATTTTGCCTGAAATTATTAATTATTTTGTTGGACATTTGTTCTAAAGTCTCAACATTCGAAATTCTATGTACCTCAGTAGTACTGTACCAGGGAGGCAACTTCAAAATCATATTCAGAACTTTGTTCTGAATCCTTTGAAGTGCTTTTTTCCTGGTAGTGCAACAACAAGACCATATTGGCACAGCGTAAAGCATGGCCGGTCTAAAAACTTGTTTAAATATTAGAAATTTATTCGTCAGGCAAAGTTTGGATTTCCTGTTTATAAGAAGATACAAACATTTTATATATTTGTTACATTTGGCTTGAATGCCCTCAATGTGATCTTTGAAAGTTAATTTTTGGTCAAGTACTAATCCAAGATATTTCACTTGGTTTGACCAGGAAATTGGAACTCCGTTCATAGTGACTATGTGACTACTACTAGGTTTCAAAAAGGAAGCTCTAGGCTTATGTGGAAATATTATAAGTTGAGTTTTGGAAGCGTTGGGAGTAATCTTCCATTTTTGTAAATAAGAAGAGAAAATATCTAAACTTTTCTGCAGTCTGCTGCAAATAACACGAACACTTCTCCTTTAGCGGAAATGCCTGTATCATCAGCGAACAAAGATTTGTGGCAACCCTGAGGCAAATCAGGAAGGTCCGAAGTGAAAATGTTATACAATAAAGGCCCAAGAATGCTACCCTGAAGAACTCCTGCTCTAACAGGTAGTTGAGTAGATTTGGAATTTTGATGATTTACCTGCAGAGTTCTGTCAGTTAAATATTTTGAACTAATTTCATAATATAAAGTGGAAAATTAAACTTTTTCAATTTAGCAATCAAACCTTCATGCCAAACACTGTCGAATGCTTTTTCTATGTCTAGAAGAGCAACTCCAGTTGAGCGGCCTTCAGATTTGTTTGAACGAATTAAATTGGAAGGTGATCAGAAGCGAAGTCAGCATGGGTAACCAATTGGCTACAAAGTTGACATGAATCAGTTAAGACCAAATCAATAGTTGAGGGATTTATTGCAGAAGAAAAGCATGTTGGACTGTTTGGATATTGAATAGTGTAATAACCTGCAGAACAATCATCAAACAGAATATTACCATTGGAATTGCTTTGAGCATTATTCCATGAGCGGTGTTTTGCAGTAAAATCACCAATAATGAAGAAATTAGACCTATGACGGGTAAGTTTCTGGAGGTCACCCTTGAGAAAATTCTTTTGCTGGCCTACGCATTGGAATGGCAAATAAATATATATAAACGTAAGTTGTCCAAATTTTGTTTCAACAGAAACTCCCAAATTTTCAAAAACTTTGGTTTCAAATGAAGAAAGAATTTTATGTTTTATTCGTATATGAACAATGATGGCAACGCCACCACAGGGTCCATCAAGACGATCATTTCTATAAATTGAATAATTTGAGTCCTTCTTAACCTTATGGTCAGGTTTAAGGAACGTTTCAGTTATAACGGCAATATGCACGTTATGAACTCTCAAAAAGTTAAATAGCTCGTCTTCATTATCTTTAAGAGATCGAGCATTCCAATTTAAAATATTTAATGCTTTAAAATCCATTACTGAATTTTAAAGTCATGACAATCTTATTAGCAAATTTTACTCCAGTTTGAATAGCATCAAACATGGAGTTAGATTTAAGCATATCAGAAATCATGTCAATTAATGATTTCTGTAAAAATTCCATTTTAGGGGCAGTAATGCTTCCTAATTCAAAATTGTCAAAATTTCCGTTAGAATTACGTTGGTTAGTATTTTGATTTCTACCCGTTGCAATAGCAGCATAGGTAGCTCCATTAACTCGCTGAACATTGTTAGCAGCGAGGGGAGTAGGTACAGATAAAAAATTTGAAGCAGGGGTGATATTTGTATCTACGGGTACGAATGTAGAATTTGTTCCTCGCTGACCGTTGTTAACAGCAGAGGAATTTGTACCTGGTCGGAAACGTGGAGCGTTTCCTACCTGACGGTTAGAACGATATTGTAGGATGGCTTTGCGAGTCTTACATTCCCAAAAATTGGATTTGTGGTTTTCACCACAATTTGAACATTTAAAATTTCTTAGGATCTTCCTTCACAGGACAGTCGTCCTTTGCGTGAGTGGAATCACCACAATTCATGCATTTAGCAGGCATGTAGCAATTTTTAGTTCCGTGACCTATCCCTGGCACTTACGGCACTGAGTGAGGTTTTGGAAATTTCCTCCAGTCTTCCTGAAGTGTTCCCACTTCACTCGGACATGGCTAGCTTTTTCTAAGGCCTTAAGGTTGTTTAGTTCA